AGCAGTTCAGTGGTAGTCGCTGGGATGGTTGTGCTTGTCAGGGGGCTGTGGCCAAGGCCCTCAGCCCCCACCCTTCATTCTGGTTGTGGGTGCCATGGGGCATGGCTGAGGACCCCAGCCCTCCCCCTTTTCTGGGTTGGTAACTGAGGGGACTTCTGGTCCTTTTAGGTATTATAGGTATTATTTGGTGAAATGAGACCTTTACTAGTTAATAACAAAATTTGTTTTCAGTTGTTGTGGCTCCTTGGTCCTATGTGGGCCCAGGGGAACCCTATTAGTGGTACTGCTGGCTTGGGGGCCACCATGGCCCTCTTCTCCCCTGCCGCCTCCAAACAACTTCATCCAAAGGGCACAGCTGTGGCTTTTGCCAGCTACTGCTCTATGCACTCAGCAGCTCCAGCCTGGACATGGCCGGGATTCAAAATGGTTGGAGCTGTTTTTCCTTTCTCTCATCATGGCTTCTCCCACCTTCATGTGCTCCATCGGTCTCTCTTCCTCTTCCCCTGAGCTCTCTAAAAATGTTTTTAATGGTGAAATACTGAATGTTTCTCCCCTAAGATTGAGAATAAGGCAAGGCAGAATATATGCTCTCACCCCTACTCAGCATCATACTAACAATCTTAGCCAGAGCAGTAAGGCAAGGGAAAAAAGGCATAGAGATTGGAAATTAAATAAACCTATGGGTGTATCTGTGTGTTTTGTTTTGTTTTGTTTGTTTGCTTGTTTGTTATTTCACACTATTTATTTTCTAGAACACTGAGCCAAAGAGACAGGAAAGGTTTGAATCTTGCTGTTAGAAAACAAATTACAAAGATAGCAAAAAAGAAAGTATTTTAGATATTAAGAAGATATTTAAATGACAAGATCCATTTGAACATAAGGTTAGCAGGGTATTTCCTGGAGTGGAATTATTTTATCTCTAGAAGTATTTGCAGATAAAACGATCATCTATGTAATAAATTCTTTAAAATCTACAGAAAAGCTACTATAATAACTGACTTTACAAAGGTTGCAGGATACAAAAATCAATATATAAAAATTAATTACATTTTTACATACTGGCAACCAACAATAGATAATTGAATTAAAAGTACAGCATGATTTAAAACAGAATCCAAAATTATTAAATACTAAGTGTTAAATTTAACAAAATATGTCACAAGACCCATATTCTAAAAACTATAAAACATCACTGAGAGATATTAAATAAAACCGAAATTCATGAAGAAATATACCATGTCAATTGATCAGAACACTCGATATTTTTAAGATGTCAATATTCCCTAGAATGACCCACATAGATTTAATGAAGTTCCAACCAAAGTTCAAATTGATCCTAAAATTAATATATAAATAAAAAGGAACCAACACAACTAAATCTACTTTTAAAAAGAAGAACAAAGATGGAGGACTTTACTACCTTATTTCAAGACTTTCTATAAAGCTGATGTGATCAAAACACTAAGATACTGGCATAAAGACAGACATACAGACCAATGAAACAGACTAGATTGTTCAGAAATAGATGCACAAATTTATGGTTAACTGTTTTTTGACAAAGTTGCCATACCATATGACCCAGCAATCCCTCTGTTGGGTATATACCCAGAGAAAATGAAATCAGTATCTCATAGAGATTACCTGCACTCCCATGTTTATTGCAGCATTATTCACAAGAGCCAAGATATGGAAACAACCTAAGTGTCTATTTGGTGAATGCTTTCTTTAGTGGTAACTTCAGTGACAAAAATGTATCACATTGCAAAAATGGCAGAGCACAGAGACTAACCTCCTCATTCACTCTCGTTTTAAAGCCCTCAGAACCATGCCGATGGCCACCATTATTAATCCATTCACTAATGCTTGGTCCTACAATCTAATCCTCTCTTCAAGGCCCCACCCTTCAATTACCATAATAAGATTTCCCACCCTCAACAGTTACAGTGGGAATTAAGCCTCAGTGAGGTTAGGGGAGGCATCCAATCTACAGCAACCACTACCACTTTTTGTAGCCAATTTCCTTCTCTATTGTATTCATTTTTGTTTTTCTAGGCCTACAGCATAATGTCAAGTCACTTTTCTGGAAAATTTCTCATGTGGCAAATTGTATAAGCCCATTCTCAAGGGATGAGTAAAGTCTTATGCAGCTAAATTACTTGTATTGGGGCAGATAATTTTTATTTTCTCTCTTGTTGCCTTTAAGATTTTTTCCTCTATGTCGAAGCTCGTAACTTACCAATAGTTGAGTAGACACTACACTTTAGTTCACTTATCCTGCTTTGCATTCATTCTGAGTACATCAAATCTGTTTTTATTTGTTCTGAAAATTCTAATCTGTTTTCAACCCAAGGAAATGTTCATCTTATTTTGTATGTGGTTCTTTTTTTCTGTCTGTTCTTTCTTTTTGGAACTCGTACTTGCTAGACATTAGTTAGATCTTCCAATCTGTCCTTCATTATCCCTTTACTTTTTTTCTGATAATGTTCATTTTTTTCACCTTTAACCCTGCTGTCTGGAAGAATCACTTCGCTCAACTTTCCAATTTACTTATTCACAGTCTTCAGCTGGGTCAAAACTTTTCTTTCAGGGCCGGCCCAGTGGCGCACTGGAGAGTGCACCACTTGGGAGTGCGGCGGCGCTCCCGCCGAGGGTTCAGATCCCATGTGGAGACCGGTTCCCGCTCATTGGCTGAGCGTGGTGCGGGCACAACACCGAGGGTTGCGATCCTGTTGCTGGTCCCCGGTACGGGCGCGACACCGAGGGTTGTGATCCCGTTACCAGTCAGTAAAAAAGACAAAAAGGAAAAAAATAAAAAAAAACAAAACTTTTCTTTCTGTGTATTAAAATGGGAATTATCTGTTCGGCCATTACATTTTTATTCTAATTAGCAACTTTGTATAGCATCTCGTCCCATTTATTTTTTTGAGAGGAAATATCTCTCATATATTATATTATGATATACAAAGTTTTTAGAACTTCTTCATTTATTGTTGCTGTTTCTTTGGGAATGGGTTTAGTGTGGTACTTCTCTTTCATGCTGTTAATTTTCATCAAATATTTGGTGATTCTTGTTTATTTAAATTTTAAGCTGCATTGAAATTCTAGATTAATCATTATTGGTTACTACAGTGTATTTCCTCAGGGTAAATGATAACGCCTGTTCCTTTTGTTTCCTTGATCTTCTCTTTCACATGTATGCAGTTATAGATTTTTCTCTTGGATTTCTGATTAACGTGATTCCATTTGATTTATTCTTTCCATAAATACCCTACTGTCCCAGTTTGCTGACTATTCCCTTCTGAAAATCCAGTACTGTTGTGAGTTTATTTTTATTTTAATAATTTTTGCTTTATTTCAGAAGGGGATGAGAAAGAGAAGTAAGATCCAATTTATATTTTTCAATTTATGAAACAATTATTTAGCTCCTCCTGTACAGCCATGGCTGTTGGAACTAAGATGTCTCTGAGGATGCCCTCTGACTCAGCACTGAGCAGGACCTCATGTAGTGTCATTGTCTAGATAAAGCTCTAGGGACGCACTGTCTGAGTCTCAGCTTTGTAGGTTCACTGTCTCTCATCTTGTCACAATAGTCTAGTGTAGAAATTCTGATGCTGATGTATTCACTTATTACATAGTAACCCATCTCTTCACTTCATTTGTAAAAAAAAAAAAAATTAATTGCATGAGATTTATAAACAGAACTTCTTATTAAAAGAATTAAAACACATTTTCCATTTAATTTTGATACATGTTTAAGGTACTAAAATAAAAAATAAATTTCTTTTTTATATTTTAGAATCACCATATTAAAGATAAATTGTTCAAGATGTTGCTTAAGAAAAATAATGGTCACAAAACTAGAACTTCCTGGTTGGCCTAGCCAATGACTTCTTTCTCTCATTAGGCAGATGATCATGGGAAGCAATATTATAATCACGAGGTTGTTTGGTAAACCTGGAATCAGAGCTAGTTGAATGATTTTAATGGTTAGGGCTTCAAGGAGTTGGAGTCATCTCCAACTAGTAGGGTGATACCTTTACCTTCAGGAAAGGGTTATACTTGCAGAGAGGACTATAGTCTTCCCTTCAGTTAGTTAGAGCTCTGCCAGCCACAGAGTACAGCACAAATACTACAAATTTGAGGTCTACCTGACCCCCATTTTTCAGTGTTTCTTTACAGCTGCCTTCTGACCATACGATTGCTGCAGTTTACCTAACAATAATGTCAGAACTAGCTCTGGAATCTCAAGCTAGAGTTCTCACTCTATCCTAACCTCAACAATCCCACTAGGTATCCAGAGGTCCATCTCTGTTGTGGGCTTATGGGTGTCTTAAGATCTTCTAGGGGTGGGTTACCCATAGACAGCAAGCAGATGGTGCTGAGCAAAACCTTCTAGCACAGTTAGGCATCACTCCTATTGGGCAGGAGATGATGGTTGGAGTTCTAGATGTAAACAGACTAGTTCTCTTGGGTTCAGCTAACCAGAACGTCTCACTAAGATTGAGGCCCATCAGCTCCCCTGTGCCACCTTGTGCGATAATGATTCTTCAATAGCACCACTAACTTGGCTTTCCATAGACTTTATTTGTAGAAAATGAGCTGCATGAAATTTATACACAAGATTCCATACAAGGAAAAAAATATGATTTCCCATTCAGTTTTCATATAACATTTAAAGGACTGAAATAAATATGAACTCAAATCTAGAATATTTAAGATACCGTATTGGGTAAACACAGCAGGGCTTCCTTTGAAGAATTTGTGCTCTGAGAATGAGCAGAGCAGAATTAATGCCGAGTCTCTCTGTCTTCCCTCCAGCATATCTCCACACCCAGTGAGGTCAGATCGGCCCACTTTCAACTCCCAACTCCCCTGTAAGAGCTAAAATAACAACAATAGGAATGCCAGCACATCCGTAGTGCTTGCTCTGTGCTGGGCGCTGTTCTAAGAACTTTATATAAAGCAATTCCTCTAATAGAGAACACATTTATCTTTTGCAGTTGTGAAGATGACCTTTCTGAAGACAGAGAGGAGCTCCTGCATGGGATTTCAGAGCTGGATATCAGCAACTCGGATTGTTTCCCATCCCAGCTGCTAGTGCATGGGACTTTAGCCTTTCCTCTAGGGTTAGATACCTACCATGGCTGTGTGATAGCAGCTGCCCGCTATGGCCGGGGCCGGGTGGTTGTGACTGGCCATAAGGTGTTATTCAGCGTTAGTAAACTGGGCCCCTTTCTGCTCAATGCTGTCCGCTGGCTGGATGCGGGCCGCAGAGGCAAGATCGTGGTACAGACAGAGCTGAGAACACTGAGCAGCCTGCTTGCAGTGGGGGGCATAGATACCAGCATTGAGCCCACCCTGACCAGTGATGCGAGCGTCTATTGCTTTGAACCCATGAGCGAAGTGGGGATCAAAGAGCTGCAGGAGTTTGTAGCAGAGGGTGGTGGGCTATTTGTTGGTGCCCAAGCCTGGTGGTGGGCCTTTAAGAACCCAGGAGTGTCTCCTTTGGCTCAATTCCCAGGAAACCTCCTCCTCAACCCCTTTGGCATCAGCATCACAAGCCAAAGCCTCAATCCCGGGCCCTTCCGTACTCCCAAAGCAGGAATGAGGACCTATCACTTCCGCTCCACCCTGGCCGAGTTCCAGGTTATAATGGGCAGGAAGCGAGGGAATGTGGAAAAGGGCTGGCTGGCAAAGCTGGGACCAGATGGTGCAGCTTTCCTGCAGATTCCCGCAGAAGAGACCCCTGCCTATATGTCTGTGCATCGACTCCTGAGGAAGCTGCTAAGTCGGTATCGGCTCCCAGTAGCAACCCGAGAGAACCCTGTCATCAATGACTGCTGCAGGGGTGCTATGCTGTCCCTGGCCACGGGTCTGGCCCACTCTGGAAGTGACCTCTCTCTGTTAGTGCCGGAAATTGAAGATATGTACAGCAGCCCCTATCTGCGCCCCTCAGAATCTCCTATCACTGTCGAGGTCAACTGTACCAATCCAGGTAAGGAATAGGGGGAGCTCAGCTTTGTGGGACCTGGGAGATGGGGACAGGGAGACTTTGGCAGTTCATTTCAGGAATCTGATCACCCACCAAGGGCATTCTCCATCTTTTGCCAAGTACTTTCAAGAAGATAGGGGTTGTGATTTCAGGTACTGTTTGGAAGAGTCGAGTCAGGCAGTATGGAAGGGAAGAGATGTGCAGAGCTCTCAGAGGATCTGTGGAAATGCTGGGGGGGTGGAGTCATGGAGGAGGGGTAAAGTCGGACTTTCCTGTGCTTTTGGCAGGAACCAGGTACTGCTGGATGAGCACTGGGCTGTACATACCTGCAAGGCAGATTATAGAAGTCTCACTGCCCGAAGCTGCTGCCTCTGCCGACCTGAAGGTAAGGCCATGCCCCGGTTCACCAGCTAACATGGAACCCAGATGTTCTTGCTTCACAGTCAGTGTCTTATTCTGATCCTCATAAAACCCTGTCTGGCAATGCAGAGCAGATATTTTTACCCCCATTTTAAGGATGAGGCAACTCAGAAAAGGTAAGAAATTGATTAAAATATATAGAACTGATTTTCATAGCCTAGGACTCCAACCTAACCAACTTCTGGCCCTTAAGTTTTGTGCTTTTGACTTACATCATAGAGTGGAGAGTAAGAGACATGTCAAGTGGAAGATATCCTACACAGCTCTAGTAGGGATTCAGTAAATCTTAGTTCACTTTCCGTCTCCGTATATGTTTCCCATTGTAGCACACGGTCTTCCTGATTCCAGCTTCTGTCCCCTGATACAAAAAACTGTTCCTCAATTGCTCGTCCACTTTTTGCTAGGTTACTTTCACATACACTCACCTTATTCACAGAATTTATTTGTCTTCCTGCCCTGTCCCCCTTGAGGACCATAGGGATAGTTAGGGTCTATTCAGTGCCTGTATCTGTCCTGGAACTTGCTTAGCATAAACCCTGGGAAAACAGTCTAAGGACTCCACCAAGTGCAGGGGTCTTTCCACCTGCCCAGGAAGGGGGGCTTTGGAGGACAGGGAGGAATTGAATCCTCAGCCAGCCAGCCAGCATGCTGCCTCCCATGGGTCCTCTTTAATCAGAAAAAGGCAGGGGCCCATCTGCTCCATTCCTAATGCAAAATCACCATCACGGTTATGGAGACACCAAGGGACCATTTGCGAGAGTCAGTTCTCCTCAGAATCAGCCTTATGGGTCACACCTGGCACTCTTCGCATTAATGTCTCCACATGACCCCTTGTGGGGCTCTTTGAATCGCTTGGGAGAATGTTTACACATAATTTAGTCTGTATGACCTCGAGAAATGCTACAACTTCATGGGTTTATCACACACAGCTTATCAATGGTGGGAAGGCCAGGCTTGCATGGGGTCATGGCCTAACGACCCTTCCACATCCTCACCTCCTGGGCTCTCTTCTTCCACCCACACATGCCCCATGATGACTCTGTGGGGGATCTCTCTGCTGCAGATACAGATTGGCTGCCACACAGACGACCTGACCAGGGCCAGCAAGCTGTTCCGAGGTCCGCTGGTGATTAACCGGTGCTGCTTGGACAAACCCACAAAGTCCATCACCTGCCTCTGGGGCGGCCTTCTCTACATCATCGTGCCTCAGAGCAGCAAACTAGGTTCTGTGCCCATCACCGTGAAGGGGGCTGTGCATGCTCCATACTACAAGCTGGGTGAGTGGAAACCTCGGGGTGCACCTGAGGGAAGGGAAGGAGCTGGGGAGGAGGACAGGAGCGGGGCTGTTTGGTGCAGTAGGAGAGAGACACGGAGTGGTGGAGGCAAGGAGTATAGTTTCCTTAGATTCAGCTTCGGGGCTGAGGAGATAAAGACCAACCACACCATGGGACTTTGTAGAAGAAGGATAGGGAGAAGCAATATTGTTGTTCGTGATCCTGACATTCTATTCCTGGGGTCCAAGCTGAAGTGTGTCTCAAGCCTCTTTGGCCTCTCTTCCTAGGGGAGACATCCCAGGAGGAGTGGAAGAGGCGTATCCAGGAGAATCCAGGTCCCTGGGGGGAGCTGGCCACGGACAACATCATCCTGACGGTACCAACTGCCAACCTTCGTACCCTGGAGAACCCAGAGCCACTGCTCCGCCTCTGGGACGAGGTGATGCAGGCTGTGGCACGGCTGGGAGCCGAGCCCTTCCCTTTGCGCCTGCCACAGAGGATTGTCGCCGACGTGCAGATCTCAGTTGGTGGGTGCCTGGGCCAACCTCCTGTGCATGCTCCCTCCCTGTGCCTTTCTTTCCTTCAACAGCCATGCAGTGGGCAGCCAGGAGGGTAGAAATGTTTTGTTAGCAAGACATATAAGATGCAGTCCTTCCTATGAAATGGAATGGAAAAATATGTATATAAGAAATAAATAACAGTTTAAGTCAGCATGTCAAGAGATGTCATCAAACAGAGGGATCGGTACAGAAAGTCAGTGCTAGACTTTCATAGATGTCCAGTGGGAATGGTAAAGAGTGGGTAAAAATGGCAGAATTGTTGGGAGAGGGAATGTAACAACTTTGAGAATACACTGAATAAGGAGATGTTTGCCTGTGGGTCAAGGAGCCTAAAAAATGAGGTGGTGTATAGACACTAAAGAAATGGAAATTTCTCTAGATGCTCGTTTTCTTGGCTTACATAGATGATCACTGTAAAGTAGTGTCAGTGTGGACAGCCCCATGTCTAAATAATGAGAGGGGGAACTGCCCTCAAAGAGTTCTGAATTTTGGGAAAAGGACACAGGTTTACATAAATAAGACCTCTTCATAAAAATAAAAACAAATTAAATGGGAACATGAATGGCTGTTTGAAGCCTGCATCCCCTCCCACAGCCATACTATCCAGGTCAGAGTAAGGATAAAGACATCATTACATTACAGAATGAAAGGATATGTAGGAAAGCCTAGGACAGGCTGGGTTTGGCTTGCACATCTGATCACTGTGGAGTGCGAGAAGGCACCTGGGGCTCTTGGGTCTTTTGGAAGACAAACGATACAAAGAATTTCTTGAGATGGGTGGGAGGACCCTAACCCTCTCCTTTCCCTTCTGCATTTCCCAGGCTGGATGCATGCAGGATACCCCATCATGTGCCATCTGGAGTCAGTGCAGGAGCTCATCAATGAGAAGCTCATCAGAACCAAGGGGCTTTGGGGCCCTGTCCACGAGCTGGGTCGCAACCAGCAGCGGCAGGAGTGGGAGTTCCCACCGCACACCACCGAGGCCACCTGCAACCTGTGGTGTGTTTATGTGCATGAGACAGTCTTGGGCATTCCTCGAGGCCGTGCCAATATTGCTCTGTGGCCCCCAGTTCGGGAGAAGAGAGTCAGAATCTACCTGGGCAAGGGTCCCAATGTGAAAAACTGGAATGCTTGGACTGCGCTGGAAACATATTTGCAGGTACTGGGCAAAACCGGGGGATGATGGGAGCCCCCGACTGTGGGAACCACCAGGGAAGCATTGTTAGATGATAATCTAGTGACCCAGGAGACCTCTCACTGCAGATGTCCCCACACTAGGCCATGGGAGACCCTGGCAAAATCCAAGTGTGACTGTCCTATTTGTTGATGCCTCTCAGTACATCACTTTTCATGTCCCTAAAGTGGACTTAATAGCCCCAGCCTCACCCTCCACCCCATAGTGATACACAAGAGTAGCTAGAAAGCTCTGAGAAAGGTTTAAAATGGTAGAAGCAAATACAGCACTAGAATTGCTATCTCTGACTTTAAAGCCAGACATACCTGAGATTAAAGCCAAATTCTCCTACTTAATAGCTACCTAAAACCAAAAAACACTGCCTCACACACACAATCCATGGGATATGAAACAGTTTTTTTCCTTAGGTGATTGTACCGTCTTCTCATTAGGACTTGTTTGTGCCTCCAATTCCAACCTATGTAGGCAATCCAAGATTCCTCACTGGCCTGGACATGGAGGTTGCCTTTGCCTTTGAACTATCATTCGATGCCCCAGCTCCCTTCCCTCCGTGGCTGGATCAGTTCCTAGCTCACTGTGGACAGTTTCATCCCCTCAGATTCTGGAATTCAGTCTCAGGCCAGGCATGCTCTATTCTGGTTCTTCCACCTGCTCGAGTTCCTCTCTGTTGGTTCCCACTGCCATAGAGTGACATGAAACAGCCGGGAGGCTCTACTTTAAGCTTGTGGTCAGGGCTGCTTTGTCCCTAGGACGAAGCTTCTCCTCAATGAAATCCAGTTGAGGTTAGTCTGGAGAACTGCTCAAGTGCCTCCTAACTACAAAACCCTGTAACCCTGGCTAACATATGCTATTTCCAATGGCTTCAGGATGGTTGCCTTATTCTAAAATTGTAACTTGCTCTTAATTCTAGTTACCTAGGCTATCTATAGTCTTCTACTTCTACTTGATTCACCTTTTGCCCAAAGGCCATTTTAATAGCTTTATGAATAGACACAGACCTATGATTAATGAAGATTTCATTACGCAAAGATAGAGGTGGGAGTTTCCCAATTGTTGGGGTTTAACTTTGCAACTGTGAAAGATAGGAGGATTTTTCCACCTTAGCCAGTTTTAAGTCCATGTGTAATATCCCATCACTATTTTCATGACTAGTGAGATATATGAATGATGATACTGGTAGTTAATTTTGATATTAATTATTACTAATCAACAGTAAATATTGATAGTAATTAGACTCTCACTGATTGAGTGTCTACTTTGTGCCAAGCACTGTGCTCACTCCCAGGCCCTTCTTAAGACTAGAATGTGGAAAGTAGGGTCGGAGGCCAGCAGGCAAAATGGAGGAGATATGCAGGGATAGATAGGAAGCTAATGTTAAATTCACTTATTATGGTGTTTGTTGGGCCCTCTTTTTTGTGGATTTGGATTAGATGTTTCACTCTGTTTTTTCTTTCTGTTTCCAGCTACAGGAGGCCTTTGGTTGGGAGCCATTCATCCGTCTCTTCACCGAGTATAGGAACCAGACCAACTTGCCCACAGACAATGTCGACAAAATGAATCTGTGGGTCAAGATGTTCTCCCACCAAGTGCAGAAGAATCTGGCTCCATTCTTCGAGGCCTGGGCCTGGCCTATCCAGAAGGAAGTGGCTACCAGCCTGGCTTATCTGCCCGAATGGAAGGAAAATATTATGAAATTGTACCTCCTCACACAGATGTAAGGAGTGCCCATCGAGGTGGCAGGTAGAGAGGTTTGGGAAGGCAGGCAGAGATGGGGGTTCAGTCCTCTACCTCTGCCTCCTAGGGTCTTGGCCTTGTCCTCTTAGCTCATTGCCCCTATATCTTATTACCTACTCCTGTCTCTGGGAAGTGGGTTAAGAACAGAGCAACAAGGGGAATCAGAACTTCTCAGGAACAAGGCCTTCTGTTTATGAGTCTCGTTCCTCTGCTCTCAGCTGTCAGATTCCCTCCTGACCCTGTAGTGGCCTAGTTCTGAGCTTTGGCACCTGTTTCTACACATGGGCCATCATCCAGAGAGGTGGTTCTCATCCTGTCATACTGAGAGCTCTCTCTGGGCTTTTATTTTTCACGAGTTGTTCCAAAAACCTAACCACGGAACTCAATTGGAACATAAATTTATCATGATAGTCAGACAGTTCCCTAATGACTCATATATTTTGAGCTTTGAGTAGTTTTTGAAGCACTTAAAAAGCAGTCTGGTATAGTGGAAAGAGCCCACAACTAGGGTTAGCTCTTGGGAAAGTCATTTTATCTCTACACTCCCATTTCCTTTTGTGTGAAATGGAGCTAAAAATCCCTGCCTCACAGAGTTGTCATGAAAATTCAGACTGATAATTCTGAAGAGGTTTAAGAATGATACAGTGCATGTACAAGGGATTGTTTTATTTTATGCTGGTCCACAGAATAATAAGATTTGTATTTCCCATTCTCTTCCCATAGCTTAGAGGTTAAGATCATCATGACTACTAGTAGACTCCCTGTGTCCAAATCCTGGTTCTTTCACCTATTAGTTGAATGACCCTGGCAAGTTTCCTACCTTCTCTGTGACTCAGTTTTCCTCATCTCTGAAATGGGATATATTTCATAGGATTATTGTGAGGATTAAATTTTTACAGTACCTCTAAAAGTGACTAGGACAGTACCTGGTAGTTAGTGGGTGTTGAAAAAATGTCATCTGGCATTGTTATTATTTAGTTAACTTAATATAATTTTAGAAAATGGGATATATTTCATAGGATTATTGTGAGGATTAAATTTTTACAGTACCTCTAAAAGTGATTAGGACAGTACCTGGTAGTTAGTGGGTGTTGAAAAAATGTCATCTGGCATTGTTATTATTTAGTTAACTTAATATAATTTTAGAGCTCGACTTCACTTTTAGATGGTATTTACAGATTTAGTCATAATTAATCCTAACCCATCCTATACTTTATACACCAACCTCTGGAAGGATTCTGATACATTGCTTTATGAATCTAAAGAAAGTTCTCTAAATTCACAATGCGGTTTTCAGAAGCTACTCAGGGTTTGGTCTTTTTACCCAATTCTTTCTTTTAAGTCAACTTCCTTCTTTGCTTAAATCAAGAGTGGAAATCTTGAAAAAAACCAGAAAAAATTCATGAAGGTGTTTATCCTTAGCAAACAGTAGGCATCCAGCTTCATGATGGTGTTTATGTTTCCATGTCATGGGTTCATGACACAATCACCATCAAGAGTTACTTGACAGTTTGGCAGACAAAGTCCACACACGTAGAAAACTTTACTTTGGAACAAGAGAACTGGATGGAGCTGGCCCAAACTTGATTTAATTACCCAACATACAAAGATTTTCTCAAGCTCTCTTCTAATTTTATTCAGAATCTCCCATTTCTTTATAGTTTTAACTAGAGTTGGATCTCTAGGATTGATGTTGTGTAGATCCAGTGAGTTTTCCTTTAGCTCACTTCTTTTTATTTAGTTATTTTAAGATACCATTTTATTCGCTTAATTGGTAATTGGGTAGATGTGTAAACAATAAGATTTGACCTATCCAATGTTTTCCTTTGTATTTCTTTACCATGTCATTTTTCAGTGCTAGAATTATTTCCTCTTACTTCATGAGTATCCATTGTCTAGGTGCTTGGAACATAGATGTTGAATATTCACTCAACATTTAAAATAATTGCTATAAATTAAAGGGTGTTCAGCCATATGCCAGGTATTGTTCTGGTTTCTTTATATAAATTGTTTTATACAATCTTCACAATAATCTTATGAGACAGAAACTATTATCATTCTTACTTGATGAATGAGAGAACTGAATTTTATGGAGTTAAGTAAATTATCTAAGGCTATATTGCTAATAAGTGGTGGATCCGGGATTTGAACCCAGGCATTCTGACTACAGAATAGGTGTTCCTAACTACGGTGTTTTGAATGCTGAAATAAATGAATAAGTAAAGAAACCAACCAGCAAACAAAAGAACCTTTATGTCCCTACTTACTGAGAGCTTTGGTTCCTTATACTTACCCCTCATCTAATTTTATCAGAACAAAAAGTCCCTTTGTTTATCCCAAATGCCAGTTCTAAGGAAGAATTAAAGGTAGATTCCTGAAGTGCTTCCCAATAGACAGTGCTGGGGTGAGCCCCTTAGCATTGGCCAAGTCTTTTAGGCTCTTGGTTATTCAAGTTTCAGTCATTCTCCCTAGGATACCATGAATGTTTATTGAATTTTGAACAATGGGCTATTTTAATAAAGTGCCTGACTCTCCAAAATCCCAGACACTTCATGTTCTCAGAGAGAAGATTAGATCCTCAATCTTTTGGAATGATATTTGTATCCATCCCTCTTTGACACATTTTTAGCAGTACAGCCTGGGGATCTTTTAAAAATATGAAGTTAGCTATGTTACTCCCCTGTATAAAAGCCTCCAGTGAGACTTCCAATTTATGATGATGGAATGAACATATAAGTTTGCCTCCCCTCCCTCCCCAGGCCCCACTGAATTGAAGTCAAGAAATACAAGAGGAAACTGACATGTCTTGGCAAAGAACATGGAAGGGATTTGATTATAAGTGGAGAAGACCTCAACACATTTCTGGAAGAGAGAAAGTGGAGGAAGCATGCTAATGAATGAAAGAGTGAAGATATCTTTCAGACAGAATATAAGCTGATCTGAACAACATAACCCCAAAGAGACTCGGGCATCTGAAAAGTCTATCTACTCAAGAATTATACCAGTTGTAAAATTGAACCCTATCCTACCTACTCCCACCCTTGTGCACAGAACACAGTCAGCCTACTATTGGTACCAGTTAAAAATTTGTTGTTGTTGCCATTGTTTGTGTAAAGGAGTTGAATAAACTGCCTGAGAGGAAGTCAGAGTTAGTGCTCCAGAATAAAATTCCTCTTTTTTTTTTGGAAATAACCAGCCCCTAGCCTATCAGCTAGTTCTTTACTGACAGTTGGAGCCCCCTACTTGAGTGCTGAATACTTCCAGGAGTGAAGAGGCTTACTGGAGAAACAGTAACAGAAACTTATCCATACAACAGCTAAGGAAACCCACACCCACTCCTGTAAAAGTCAATAGTTACTTTGATTCTTACTTGTGAATGGTCAGCAAGGAATTCCCAGACATGGAGGCAGGGAGGGAACAGCAGAGGAGAAGCATAAGTCACCAGGTAGAATTAGAGGAAGAATTAGGGGGATTGAGAAATATGGCAATCTCTGGAGGACATAAAGTCAATGTGGGAAAAAATAACTTAAAATTCTAAGTATATCTTCAGAGAGATGTGAGGTATATTTGTAGGATGAATACAGGATACCATGAAGAAAGGGAAAAATAAGAATACAAGCCCTTTGAAAGTAAAAAAAAGACTGCCCAAAATATTAGCAGATAGGCTAGAAAATAAAATTGATGGAATCTCCCCAGATATGGAGCAAAAAGAAATAGACAGAAAATATAAAAGAAAGAAAGATGTAGACAATATCTAACTGTTAGGAGTTCCTGGAAGAGAGAACATAGAAAACATAGGTGAAGAACAGAAAGAAATAAGTCTCCAGATTGAGGGGCCTATACAACCTACATCTTGACACAATCTTGGAAATTGTGAAATATTAAGGGTGGAGGTAGGATATTGAAAGTACACAGGGGGAATAAGAAAATTCAGTCATCACAATTAGTTCAACTAGAAAGGGAAGAGAAATAGATGAGCAGCAGATTTTTCGTCAGCAACACTGAATGCTACAAGTCAATGGAGCAATGTCTTCACAGAGCTTGTGAAAAACGTTTGTGCCCAGAATTCCATAGAAAGACAAACAGTCAAGAATAACGTCAAAATAAAGGCGTTTTCTGACATGCAAGTCTTCAGAAAGTCTACCTCCTTTGCACCCTTACTGAGGAAGTACCTTGAGGAAGTTCTCCAGCAAAATGAAGATGAAAACCAGGAAAGAAAAAGAGGTGGGATCCAGATAACAGCAGACCTCACCCAGTATGTCTCCCTCTAGAGTGACAATTATCCAGCAGACCCATTGCAGATGACAGCACTCAAGCTTGAGCCCTCTGGGAGGATGTGCATTCTGTGATATAGATAGTTTCACTGGGAAACTGAAATGTTCGAGAATATGGAAGACTTCAGTCTATAACAGCAAAGAAAAGAAAAACAAATTTAAAATATGCCAAAAAATTCAGGTCCAATTTTGAAGCAAAATAAAATAGGGCATGATTTTGAGTTACTCGTGGAGTGTGAGAAGAGACTGTTTGACTTTGGCGGTAGGTACATTTCCTTTCTAGTGATACAGGCATCATGACATTGGGTGTGTAGGGAAGAAAATATCCTCGCTTCTACTTGGCTGTCAGCTAAAAGTATGTACATGGCCAAAATAATGTAGATGCCATTTATTGGTATTCAGTGTTCTGATCAGCCTATCCACAAGGCATGAAAGGCTTAATTTTTTATTCATAACTGAAGTTGAAAGTAACTAATGCTGACAAGTTAAGGAAAAAGAAAGCAGGGTGAGGTTGAGAATTAGTTGGGGGATGGGAGGTGGAAGGAAGAGGAGAGCTACTTATATATTCAAAGCGAGGATGAGAAAATAAGGTCTTCAGTTAATGGAACAACAACTAGGGAGTTAGTGTATTGTTCAAAGCTATAAATTAAGCCAATATTTGGAAAATGATGAGCAAAGGAAAGGTGGGAATAGTGTAAGTTAAATCCTTATCTTTTGTAATGGGGAATTATTAAAGATTGTCTAAAGTTAATGTCAAGAAATTATTGTCCAAACACATTATTTAAAGTTAGGAAGTTAGTTACCAGAAGATTTAAAAATAGATATTGTTAAAAGCATTGCCTCTAGGGAATGAAACTAGAGTTAAAAAGGGTGGAGTGGGAAACTGTGTTTTTCATTTTAAGTCCTTCTGTACTATTTAATTTTTTATCTTGTGCATGTATTACTTTGAAAAAGTTTTTAATAAACTCAAATAAAAGTCCTTCAGTGGCTTCACATTGACTAAGATACAATCCAGCCATACCCCTCAACATAGTCTGCAGTGTTTGGATCCACCTGATGTGTCCTGGCTCCTCCTAGCTCGCCAGCACTCTCTAGTGTTAGCCACACTGGGCATCTTCCAACTACTCAAACACCCTTCACCTTCTCCTGTTTCTGCAGGTGTTCCACAAAACGCCTGCTGCCGCTTTCACCATGTCTGGTGATTAAGCTTACTGTCTAGCAGGTTTTCAGTTTTTGTTGAATGAAGGAATGCCCAGCAGGGTTTTGGATGAAGACTGCCAACTAGTGTTCTTTCCCAAGAAGGCCTGTGATATTTGCTCCTCTTCTGGGAAATAGTTCATGAAGGACCATATGGGGCTGTAAGCTTGCCTGCACTCCTATCCATTGGATAGCTTTAACAAGTTTTAGTCTTCTTTGAGACCAGCTGGTATCAGAAGATTTCTATTCACCTGTCAGTCTCCTTGGTATGCTCTTTGCCACTTTCTCTGAGCATTGTAATCTGTTTTCTGTATTATTTTCCCTGTACTTGGCAGAAACACTAAGCTATCTAATAGAAATATTCAGGCCACCATGTATCCTGTGTCATATCCCTACTTTCCTGGTAGCTATTCCTTTGCCATCCTCATTAACATTTCTAGCTGAAAGTAAATATATGTGTAAAGGCCTTTTCTTACCTGACTTAGCATCTCCTCTGTGTTCCATGTATCATTAGGCTCTGAAATAGAGATTTACCCTCACAAATGGGAGAGGTTCCCAGATTGTTCATATTATCAAAAAAAAAACAAACAAAAAACCCACAAACTCTTTTATGTCTCCCACCACACCGTGACTCAATCTTCATAAAAGGAAGCTGAAATATGCCATTACAGTAGTTTACTTTCTGCTATTGTCTAACTCCAAAGGTCAACTGGAGCCATCTGATCAGTATTGGCCTTACAACCAATCTTCAACAGCAGTATTTATCAGAAACTTTTCCTATCTCTTCTTCATAGGATCAGTCTCTGATATACTTAGTGCTTAAACCAATGGCTCCACCCAAGGCCATAACTTCACCTAGTATATGTACCTGACAGGCCAGTAGATAACTACATATGGCCTTAGATGTTGACTATTTTTGCTGATGAAAGCAAAATATCCATTCTTTCAAGACTGATTCCTTCCTATGTTCTCTGCTCCCTGCAAAAATTTCAGACCCCTACCTGGCTTCTACTTTGAAAAGGACTTGTTTTTTGACTCACATCATTAAAGTCAATCTTCTAAGTATGATAGAGAAGGAGTAGAGGGTGATCTTCAACTTTCTAGAGATCTAACCACACAAAAAAACAAATCCACATCTAAATCAAGAAAGCTACAGAAATGCTATTTACACATTTGGACTCTTCTGTGTCTGAATGCTGCATAGAAAAAGCATTTCTTTGATAGAAAAGGTTGGGTAGTTTAAGTTATTGCCATTGTTCTAGTTTCAGTTTGGGTGGTTTGTTTCATAGGTTCTCATCACATTAGAAATAAATACAACAAATTAAAGGTAAGTAGAGGTGGGAGAGGCAACTCAAGCTTTTTAAAACAAGCAAACAAAAAGCCATGTATTGACCACTGATGAGAGTGTCAGGAACCAAGGTTTATGTTAATACACATATGTGCACTTGAGGGCGATTAAAAAGTTACTTCTGTTCATCTGAACTGTACAGGAACTCAATTATATATAATTGTTCAAGAACTATTTAGATGTAAGTCCTCAACATTTGTTTCCATGAACTACCTAAATTTTGACATTAAATTTATTTTCAAAACTGCCAGAATTTTTTAATATAATTTGAGGTCTGAGATAGTGACCCAAGGTTGGATAGGGTAGGGGAAGGCAAAATGATCGAATATAAAATTTAAAAACAATTTATCAAGGTATCCAGAAGAGGTCCCACAGACAGAGAATACCCCTCCCCTTCCTGAACAGAGCATGCAGTCCAAGGCCCCAGTAGATGCAGCAGGCTCTTCCTGTGCCTCATCCTGTTTGTGAGGTGTCTGTACTTCAAACGGGAGCTGAGACTCTGAGAAAATACATCACAAACTCTTCCTTCACCTATGCCAAGGAAAACACAGGTGGGGAAGACAACTCCAGCTTGTTTTTAAATAGAGTTTCTCACTTTTTTCTTTCTGTCTGTGTAATCTTGAAGCCAAATTGTAACAAAGGAAGCAATAATAAGCCATAAGGATTTTGGCATTTACTCGCAAGAAAACTGGCACTATGAGCTTGTTGTTTACTGGTTGCTCTCAATACCTAGAGCAGACTAAAATCTCAGGTCCTCATAGGAAACTCAGATAAATTATAAAATGGCGAACAGCTGACTCATGTCATTAGTGTCAGAGTGGCCTTTGGCATAAAGCCTAGGGGATCTCTGTACTGGAAAAAGGGCCTTTTAATAGAATGAAGACTGGAGTAAGTGCAATGAAAGGAAATTGAGTCTATTATAGACCTACCCAATATTTCAGACCCAGAGAAAGAACACCCATGCACCCAGTCTCAGGCTAACTCAGTTCCACTGACTCCCACACAGCTGAAGTCTTGAGAACAGAAGCAAACTTTATGTCTCACCCGGAGGAGGGAGAAGGTTTAGAAATGTCAAAAGATCTACCCTCCCCCAACCTTGTCCCTTACTGGAGAAAGACAGTTTCAGCTTGGATATCTCTGGAGTAGCAGTGATATTTTCCAAAACATCCTCTGTGACTGGAATATTACTGCCTCCCACCACACACCTATGGCCCAAATAAAAAAAATGTAGGCCCAGGTTAATTTCACAAATACACTAAAGTAGAGCTTTTTTAGAACTCTGAATCAGGGCTGGCCACCTGTCAAGAGAAGCAACAACTTCCAGCTTTGCCGCTTTCCATGAAGAAGCAGGCAAGAATTTGCTCTTGGAGATAGACAATGCTGTAATTTGAATAAAAGTTAGTATAGATGTACTGAAGAATGAAACATGAGTGAATCATAAATACTCTCAAGTTAATTACTGTGCTCTTTATTCCCACTACAATACAATTTTAGTAAATACATTTGAGCATTTTAATGCGAGGAGATATAATTATAATGGTATGTGTTATTCTGGGTCCTCCAAGAGGCAGAAGCCGAGATAGGATTAGATGTGTAAGACATTTATTAAGGGAAATGCCTGTGAGAGGAAATGGAGAGGGAGCCAGAGGAGGCTGAGAAAGCCATCAGACCACAATGTAGGGTTAACCCTTGGGAAGGAAAGCGCGAAGGAAGGAGAGGCTTACACTGCAGTGAGATCTCAGGAAGTTTCTTCAAGGCCAATGGGAAGTCCTTAAGCCAAAGTCACCCATCAGAAGAGTCCGATGACTCTCCAGAGTGGGCTTGCCTTAGGATCCCCACCACACTTAATTACTGGTCAGGAGAAGCTTTGGGGCAGCATGGACTTGGTACCGAGGATTACAGAGCACAGCAACTGGGGCCATCTGGCAATTACATACCCACCCCCTGCAGCTGACCTGACAGAAGCATTTTCATGGCCACTGCAGTACTTAGTCTTTAAACAGCTGTACACACCTGTTCTGAATCATCTTAGTGACTTTGTAAACCTCCCCTGTGACTCATAGCAGTAAATGTAGATAGGTGGGTGCATCCATCTCTGTCCCTAAATTAGAGTGTGGCTAATCCTTTCCAGATTCTTAAGGCCCTTAAGGGAAAGAATATACAGGACCACATTAAATTAAACTCATGACTAAAAATAATTGATGAAGGCCAGTGACTATTAATGCTAGCCCACAATTGGCAAGCATATGTGTGAAGCAACCCTTGCATTTGGCTTAGTGATAAACTGGAATTACTGCCCTCTATTTGACAAAAATGGACTCATGTACCATGGTAGCAGTAGCAATTCCAACTTGTGTATGCCTCTTGTGTATGCTGAACAATTAAATATAATATTGTTTATTTATATTTATTATGTATAACCCAGAAAGAGCCAGTCATGGCAGTGCTAAGAGTATAGATGAGCCTGCTTGATTTAAGCTAATACATTTCTACCCTTACAACTGGAAATGGCTTCATTTGCCCCTGAATTTCATAAGGGCAAGGTAGATTATCTGAACAAAATTGGGATTTGGCTGGAAAAGACAATGGAGGTGGGGTACAGAACAAATGTTCAGGAGACCACTTCTGTGTTTACTACACAGCATTTCTTAAAAATCTTTCTCTGGACTGGAGTACAATCCAAACTCCTTAATATCACAGCCGAAATCCTTCAAACTTAGCCCAAACATCTCTTTAGAGGTAGCACTATCCACGTACTATTAACTTTTTTAGTCACTATGAACATTTTGTCTTTCTCAAATCAAGCTTTTCACATTCGTATCTCCATGCTTTGGAATCTGATACAGACTTCGTGTTGTAATGACCTCCACTCTCCTCTGCCCACAAATATCATATATCCTTTTCAAAGCTAAGGTTTTGCATCACCTTCTCTGCAAGTTCTTCTCTGTTCCCTGATCAGAAATAATTGCTTCTTCCCTTCTGCTCCCTTGCACTTAATTTGCAGCAAATTTTGGCACTTAGATAAATCAGTCTGTTTTCATGTCTCCTGTCCTCTCTAAACTTAATGACTGTTTGTTATCTCTGTCTTCCAGAGTGCCTCATAGAATAATTTGTGGGAATATTGACTTCTATTGAATAGCTTCTGTTTTCTCCTAGATGAAGGAAAGGTCTGGGGGTCTGCATGTTCATATGAGCAACGACCTTTAGTCAGAACCTGTGCAGTCACCACCTTTCAACTCCTGGTTTTTCAATGGGCCTTTGTGCTGTTCCCATATTGTTTGGGTCCCATGCCTCAGACAGCTCCTGCTCCCGCATGGCAGGTATCTTGGTGATGCCAGGCCTGCTTCTGCTCTCTGACCCTGGAAAAATGACCCTTGTTCAAAGCCCTTTCTTGTATTACAGCAACACCAAACTACTCTCAGAGGTCTTTTTAGAACAAAAGTCATACTTTGCCATAATATAGGTAGGGACTGGTAAAAACCT